ATAAATATTTTTTATATAAGTAAATAAATACTAAAATTTTATATTTTTTATTAAAAAATACATAATAATCAATAGATAAATAGGTTAATTTTAATTTTATTAGGTAGATTTTAGAGTTTTACAGAATTTTTTATTTTATTTTATAAAAACTCTTTTCATATCAATTAATAAATATTTTTTTATATAAATAAATAAATACTGAAACTCTTTGGCAGAGTTTCTATATCCTGTATTTTATATATAAATAAATAAATACTGAAACTCTTTAACTGAGCTTTTGTAATTCTGCGTCTATGCCCCTCTGAATTTCACTCTTTTTATCCATTAAAAAATATTTTATAATAAATAAATAAATAGCTAATTTGTGTTAGAGTTTAATACAAACTCTGTTAAAAACTCATTTTATATCAATTAATAAATATTTTTTATACTAATAATTCTAGTCTAATTAGATTTCTTTTGATTTAAAAACTTATAGTAAATAGATAAATAGGTAATTTGTATTAGATATTTATTTGAAAACCTCTTTTTATATTAATTAATAAATAATTTTCTATATTCATAATATTTATCTAATTAGATTTCCTTTTATGAAAAACTCATAATAAAAGCTAATTTGTGGTAGCGTTTTTTAAAAAAATAGATAATTTGTGATAGAATTTTATAGAAATTATTTTATTTTCTTTAAATATATCCTTCTCTAATTTTATTTTATTTTAGTAAGAAACTCGTAATAAAAGCTAATTTGTGGTAGAGTTTTAGAAAAATGAATTTATTTTATATATCAATTAATAAATATTTTTTATATAAATAATTCTTGTCTAATTAGATTTTCTTTTATTAAAAAATGCATAATAATAAATAGATAAATAGGTTAATTTGAATTTTATTAGGTAGATTTTAGAGTTAGCTTATTTGTGATAGGTTTTATAGAAATTTTTTATTTTCTTTAAATATATTATTTTTTAATTTTATTTTTTTATTAAAAAAATTCATAATAATTAGATAAATAGGTAATATGTGTTAGAGTTTTATAGAAAATATTTTTAAAACTCTTTTTATATGGATTAATAAATATTTTAATAATTCTTGTCAAATTAGATTAGGTTTTATTAAAAAAACTTATAATAAAAGGTAATTTGAGATAGAATTTTAGAAAAATTATTTTATTTTTTATATTAATAATTCTTGTCTAATTAGATTTTCTTCTATTAAAAAACTTATAATAAATAAATAAATAGGTAATTTGTGAGTTTAATATAAACTCTTTTAAAAATTCTTTTTATTTCAATTAATAAATATTTTTTCTTTTAATAATTCTTGTCTAATTAGATTTACTATTGTTAAAAAAAATTCATAATAAATAGATAAATAGGTAATTTGTGTTAGAGTTTTATAGAAACTCTTTTCAACCTCTTTTTATATCAATTAATAAATAATTTTTTATATTAATAATACTTGTCTAATTAGATATCCTTTTATTAAAAAAAACTCACAATAAATAGATAAATAGGTAATTTGTGTTAGAGTTTTATAGAAACTCTTTAAATATATCTTTGCTTAGTGTGATAAGTTTTATTGAAAATAAAATAGGTAATTTATGATAGCCTTTTATACAAACTATTTTATTTTCTTTAAATATATCCTAATTTAATTAGATTTAATTTTATTAAGAAACTCATAATAAAAGCTAATTTGTGGTAGAGTTTTAGAAAAATTATTCTATTTTATATATCAATTAATGAATATTTTTTATATTAATAATTGTTGTCTAATTAATTTTCTTTTATTTAAAAATTCATAAAAGTAAATAGATAAATAGGTTAATTTAAATTTTATTATGTAGATTTTATTGTTTTATAGAGTTTTTTTTTATTTTTTATATATATATATAAAAACACTTTTCATATCAATTAATAAATATTTTTTATATGAATAGATAAATACTTAAATATTGAAACACTTTGCACATCTAATAATAGTATAGATAAAAAATCTTTTTATATCAATTAATAAATATTTTTTTATATAAATAAATAAATACTGAAACTCTATTTTACTCTGAAATTATGGATTTCTATAATTCTCAATTTCTGAAAGGCCGAGAAAGTAGTATTACACTTGATCTTAGCCAAAAAACCAAGAAAGGTTAGCCAAAAGGCCGACCCAAAAAAATTTAGTACTACACTTGATCTTAGCCAAAAGGCCAAAAAAGTGTGATTATTATTATTTTAACTCTATAGTTTTATAAGAGACTTTCATGCAATCCTTTATACTTAAAACGAATGTGGGACTTTGTAATTTGAATTAAACTCTTTTTATATTTTGTTAATTCGAATTAATTTTAATTTTATTAGGTAATTTTGAATTTTATAGAATTTATATCAATTAATAAATAAATACTGAAATACTGTAATAATTAATGAGAGTAGTATAATATAATTTGTTAATTTGAATTTTATTAAGTAATTACTGTTATTATATTTTGTGTGAGTAGTATAGTATAATTTGAATTTATTATATTTTGTGTGAGTAGTAGTATACTATAAAATTTAATACTACACTTGATCTTAGCCAAAAGGCTAAGAAGATGTGATTATTATTGCTTTAGCTTTATAATTTTATAAGAGGCTTTCATGTAATCCTTTTTACTTAAAACGAATGTGAGACTTTATAATTTGAATTAAACGCTTTTTATATTTTGTTAATTTGAATTAATTTTAATTTTATTAGGTAATTTTGAGTTTTATAGAATTTATATAGTGGGATATAATAATTAATGAGAGCTCTTTATTGTGAATTAAACTCTTTTATATTTTGTTAATTTGAATTACTTTGAATTTTATTAAATAATTTTGAGTTTTATAGAATTTATATCAATTAATAAATAAATACTATACAAAGGCCGAGAAAGTAGTACTACACTTGATTTTAGCCAAAAGATCAAAAAAGGTTAGTCAAAAGATCGACCCAAAAAAATTTAGTACTACACTTGATCTTAGCCAAAAAGCTGAGAAGGTGTGATTATTATTTCTTTAACTCTATAGTTTTATAAGAGGCTTTCATGTAATCCTTTTTACTTAAAATTAATGTGGGACTTTATAATTTGAATTAAATTCTTTTTATATTTTGTTAATTTGAATTAATTTTAATTTTATTTGGTAATTTTGAGTTTTATAGAATAAATTGAAACTCTTTGCACAAAGGTCGAGAAAGTAGTATTACACTTGATCTTAGCCAAAAGACCAATAAAGGTTAGCCAAAAGGTCGACCCAAAAAAATTTAGTACTACATTTGATCTTATCCAAAAGGCCGAGAAGGTGTGATTATTATTTCTTTAGCTCTATAGTTTTATAAAAGGTTTTCATGTAATCCTTTTTACTTAAAACCAGTATGGGACTTTGTAATTTGAATTAAACTCTTTTTAAATTTTGATAATTTTAATTAATTTAAATTTTATTAGGTAATTTTGAGTTTTATAGCACAAAGGCAGAGAAAGTAATACTACACTTGATCTTAGCCAAAAGATTAAGAAAGGTTAACCAAAAGGTCAACCCAAAAAAATTTAGTATTACACTTGATCTTAGCCAAAAAGCTGAGATGGTGTGATTATTATTTCTTTAACTCAATAATTTTATAAGTGATTTTCATATAATTCTTTTTACTTAAAACCAATGTGGGACTTTATAATTTGAATTAAACTTTTTTTATATTTTATTAATTTGAATTAATTTAAATTTTATTAGGTAATTTTGAGTTTTATAGAATTTATATCAATTAATAAATAAATACGAAATACTGAAACACTGAAACACATTTAATAATAGTATAGATATGTATGAAAATTTCAATATAATGTCCTCCCTAAAATTTGTAATTTCTAAAGTTATCTATTAAAAATTTTCTTTTATTCTTTAAATTCTTTTGATTTCCTTAAAAAAAAGTAGTTTGTATTTACAGAAATTCGAATTATCTTTTACCTTGGGACTTGGGCGGAGCCAGTGTGCCCAGAGACATGTCCCCTGCCCTGACCTGACCAATATAATATTTAGTTAATATTCAATTTATTTGTGTGTATATATATATATATATATATATATATGAAAATTTCAATATAATGTCCTCCCTAAAATTTGTAATTTCTAAAGTTATCTCTTAAAATTTTTCCTTTTTCTCTTTAAATTCTTTTGATTTCTTTATAATAAAAAAAAAGTTTAAATTTCCCTTTTTTAATTAAACCCTAATTTTTTTCTTTTCAAAGTTCTCAATTTTCTTTCCTTCTTCTTCTTCTTTTTTCTTTCCTACTTAAAATCATTTTTCTATCCTTTTTCTTCTTTTTTCTTTTCAACTTCTTAAAATTATTCTTTTTTACTTACGTAAGATGTATGTAATATGTAATTTTTTTTCTTTATAAAGTTGATGGATAAAATTTTCATACATTACTTCCAAAATACAATTATTTTAGTTCTTATATTAGTCAAATATTTATAGTTTTTTAGTGAAGAAGAAACCTTAGTGAAGAAGGAAAGAAGCAGTGAAGAAAAAGTGAGATCTTTCATCATCCAACTTTGGAAGATTGCTGCAATTAAGTCATCCACTTGTAGGAGACAAGCTCATGCTACCACATCCAATTTAAAGATCATGTGTAGCACTGAGTTAGTGCATTGTTGACATATGATCTACTTAAAACCAGATTTCCACACAACTTTTGAACTTTGTCTTAGCATTTAAATTAAAATAAAAAATCACTGCACCTATCGACTGTTCTTCGCAGTACCAAATTGTAGTTCTTCAAAGTCAGAAAAAGCTAAACTTTGATTATTATTTTCTTTTTCTTTGGTGAGTATTAACTTCTCTGGTTAGTTATATATCTTTTGATTAATACAAACTGATAAATGCATAAATTCAGCAGATTCGTGATCTAATTTCCTCTAACAGAACTGATTTGGTGGGGGGCATTGTCCAAATTGAGTGAAGTAGATTCAAAGTAACCTCAAATATGATAATGGGGAAAAATGAGTTAGTACTATTCAACAACTTTCATACATTGTTCTCTATGATATATGCCCTTACTTAGTAAGGGTTGAAGAAATTGGCATCTAAACCTCTGTTCACCACATTCCACACACCTCCAGCAACTATCAAGACACTTAACGTCACGCCTAAACAACCAAGCCCTAAGTTTAGGCACCACATTGCACCATGTGGACGGGGTTTGTTGATCGCCATCCACATGAAACATGGGTAAACAAAGGTTAAAGGCAGTGCGATCCCTCCAATGATAGGTGTCAGGCTTGACAAGAATGGGAAAGTCACGGAGATGAAGAATGTCACTCCCCCAAAGAAGACTTTGAACCCTGAGCGGAGCCATTTTGGACACGGCTTGTTTTTCTTGGTGACGTATATGCGCTGCAAGTTGTCGAAGACTGGCATTGCATAGATTTGGTACAAACTTACACAATTAATGAATACTATTACATGTATTAAGCCCATCACAAACTTTGACGTGTTGTGTTTATGGAATTTCAAGTACGCGCTTAATATCCCTGCATTCACAGCTTTCTGGCCCAACTTCCCTCCATTTGCAGCTATCTGTCATTTTAAGTCCAAGCCACATCGTTAATTGCTCGAGATCATTTTGCAAGTCTATGAGAGAAATCTTTGAAGCTAAAGGAAAATCAAATCAAAGCAAGTGTTGCTTACCCCGTTACCATAAGCCCAGTATCCACCTATTGCAAGGGGAAACATACACAAGGAAATCAGCAGATATGACATTTTCACGCCTCTCCACATTGGCTTAACTGATGAATGTTTTGGACTTGAAGGCAGTGTTCCCTGCATCAATATAATTAGTAGCAATTAGAGGTAACCCATGTCGGGACACCTAAGGTTAGACCAGGGCATTGGTCTGAACAATAGGCCAGATCAACAGCACTATGTTGTACAGCAGTGGACGGCCAGGATCACTCACATGTATGGCAGACTCCTAAACAACTTCAAAATAACCAAAATTTGGACTCAAATGACTCATGATTGAATGATTTACCTGTATTTCAAGCACAAGATTGTGACCTCTGAAAGAAAGAGCAATGATCCCTATGGCATTCAGTACACCTCGAATCCTACCCATGTCAGTTGTGGCTGTCTTAGATGGATCATAAGATATGCCATCAGGCCTACCATTTACAATTGGCATAACCCACATCAGTGTGCAATAAACTATAGCTGTTACTGCACCAATCACTGAAATCCCAGCTAGCGAATTCAAGTTGGGAAAAAACATAGCCACAGCAATGGCCAAGCATACAAAAACCAGGAACCACTCTGCTCCGCTCAATGTCTTGGAATTGCAAGTGAGCTCATCCCCACACACTATTTGATAGAAACTCTCCATGGTCCCTCCCCCGATGATAATCAGGATGACACATGTACCTCCCGATAGATACATGACTGGAAATATAGCTAGCAACTTGCCCAATTTTAAACCTGAAATCATCCACACATCATCATATCATCTTCTTTAGCTCCACTTGTACGTACGCGCATATATACATGTATAAAGTGCTACTCCACTCTTGACATTGGAAAGTCAAATGTACACATGATCGGGTTCAGGTCATAATGGAACAACTTTACACATTAATACATACATATAAATGTATATAAATTATACACATACTTACCAAAGGCTGTTATTGATAGGTGGAGGAATCTGCTGTAACGAATTCCAGTATCTGATTCATGAAGATTCACAAGAAGCCAAGTAGTATAAAGCTGCCATAGAAATGCCAGAGACAATAATAGAATACCCCAAAACCTGACACCATATAGAAGTTGACCCAACAAGTCAATGAACATGTGAAGTAAGCTTTATTATATACAATTTAATCAGTTCAAGTTCAAAAGGGCTACCAAATAATACTTCGTTTCTATGTTAGCAACATAATTTCATCAATTGTTCTGTTTTCCTCTGTTTTATCCATCACTTCAATCAGTAACGAAACCATGGTTTAATTCATACTCGTGTGTGTTTGAGTGTGTGCTAAGTTATAATTTAATTCAATATCATATAAAAAGGGTATAGAAATTAGGTGATTTACCATCCAAGGGCAGTGAACGCAATTGGAAGTGCAAGAGCATGAATTCCAATCCCTGAAGAGAGAAGATGGAATGCGGAGTTACAGGTGTTGCCTTTTCGGGACGATGTGATGGGAAGCCAAGCGTCCTGTGGGATGGGCTGTGTCTGTGTGTGGTGATGGTGTGAGCCTTCAGCCTCACCTTTAGGGCTTGCTATGTCCACAGTAATGACTTGCAGTTGTACGCCTTCGACGGAGGTTTGGTGGTGAATTTTTGGTTCCATGGCTAGCCGCTTTGAGACCACCTTCTTCCACCTCCTCCTCCGCCTACTAGTAGTATATATTACTATTAATTAATTATATATATATATATATATATATATATATATATATCTATGACTATATATAATTTGTATATAGTGGTAGAGATGTATACTGGTATGCAAGCAATGTGCTGGATGAATGAACGTAATTGTTGGCTATAAAAGGGCATTTGTTAATGGGCATACTAGTCATACATCCCACATACACCTACCTATTATATACTACGTAGGTGATAGTATCCTATGAGGTGTAATCAGTGACGTAAGTACGATGACGTCATATATATATATATATATATATATATATATATATATATAGATATATATATGTATGTATGTATGTATGAAGTGATCGTCAATTAAAGCCAACCATAGACTTTGATTCTGAAATCCTTGAAAATGGAGAATGTCCAAACGTAAATGCTATTTCAATGGGAGGGTCCTCCAAACTAATATCGGTGCATCCTTGACTTATTTATACTATTTCACAACCGGATCTAGAAAATTATTTGAGGCAATAATAATTTTTTTTAATAATTTCAGTAGAATAATAGTAATATTTTAGACATATATAACTGAAAAATAACAAATTAAAAAGATACATTAGAACCCCTGAATTCCATGCCTAAACTTTTATTATAATATCACCTCACTGCTCTTTCTTTACCTCACAAATTATATGAGGCATTTTTATCACACAAATTAACTAACACTCAGTTTTATAATTTTATTTCAATTAAAAAAATTATAATTTAAGAGCAAGCCACCTTACACTGGACTACTTTAAAGTGTGTATAATGTATATTACCATTTATATGGAGCATATATATATATATATATATATATATATATATATATAGGTGAAGACAGTTGATAAAAAAAAATTGGGAAGAATCTTTTCACTCTATGAGAAGGGAGGGAAGGAAAAGCAATAAACAGAGAAAAGATACTCCAATTATTAGGGAGGCATTGGCAATATTTCCACACCAATTTTATCCACAGTCCTTACTTTAAAAAAAAAGAAAAAGAAAATGACTAGAAAGACATGAGCTCATTAATACTTCACCCATTATTATATAGGACAATACTTATTTATTTGTAGATAACCCAATTATAAATGTACACAGTGTTTGTAATTACAAAATTAAAATAATAAATAAGGAAAACACATAGAGTGATTGAATTTATTTCAAAAAAAATTATTTTCTTTATTTATTAATTTCCAAATTTGGAAATAACAGACAATATGTACATTTGTGATTGGAGCACATCAGCGGTCAGTAGAGTAATTTCTTAATTTTGAAATAACAGATAATACATTTGTGATTGGAGCACATCAACGGTCAGTAGAGATCAACTCACGATGAGTAGGTAAGTATTGTCCTATTTTATAATAGGGTTAATTACACTCACACCCCCTGAGGTTTGTTCTATTGATAGGTAGATGAAAGTTGGGCTCTTTTTGAACACTCACACCCCTTGTCAGAAATTTAACTCAAACAGGCCCTTAGAAGATGGAAAAGGACAAAATTACCCTTCAATAAAATATTAAGTTTTAATCTAAAATATTAAAATGACAAAATTACCCTTTAACATTATTACCGCATGTTTCTCTCTTACAAACCCAGAAATCTGCAACTCTCACATCTACCCTTTTCACTTTCGTGAGAAACCCACCACCACCACTTCCACCATTGTCACCCTTTTACACACGGTGTTGGGAAACGTGCAAGTTTTTAAAACTTTTGAGGGATTTAAAATCACGGATCTTGATTCATCACACAGAGACAAGTTTTATGCAAAGATAAATAAAAGATGATGCATAATTCAATAAACAGATTGAATACTTACATCAAAGGTCTGAGTAAACCTTTTGAACTTTCCTCTAAAGTGAATGTTCTCACTTATTGTAGATCCCTTTAGCAAGATCATTTCTCCTTCCGTTCGATTATTATCTTCCCTTTAGGAATCACCAATATGCCTTGATGAATGACCTTGGAATCTAGGCTGGTGGTAGCCTCCTTTAGAAGAGAAAACAAAACCCTAAAATCTAGAAAGAGAAAGTGTATTCCTTTTTCTTGTTCTCCAAGTCACACCTAAAATATACATGAACTCATGTATATATAGGCAAAATAAAAATAAGAATAAGGAAACAATAAATCATTCTCCATCTCTAATTCAACTTTCTCAATCCTAATATGACTCCAATATCAACTTGGGCTATTGGTGAGAATCCTTTTGGGCTTACTATTTTCTTGGCTCCTATAAATTAATAATTGGTCCGGTCCATTAAACCATGGACCCAATTCAATTAATTCATAAATTAATTTCTACTCCACTAAAAGAAATTAATTGCACTCCAATTAAATAGTAAATAACCTCTAAGTCAATGTTGCACTTTGACCCCTCTATGCTTAATTATTTATCGGATAATTAAAGCCATCAATCCGACAACATAATTAATATAATTATTTTGTTACCTTTGATTATTTCCGACTCGATCACAATAAAATATTTATTTGACAAAAAATAATAATAATAAATATATATAGAAAACATTTGTTTAAAACATACGAAGGCCTTCGAATTTAATTTGTGATCAACCATAATCAAAACAAAATAAATACAAATAGTACTGATGCAAATATTGAGAATATAGACCTCTAATTATTAATTACATAATTACCCAAAGTGTCGATCTAAGGATCCCGAGGTATCTGCCGAACAAATCAAAGTAATTATTAATTAATAAAAGAGTCTATACTTCTCTCATGCTTGAGAGTCAAAAGCCATGACTGTGATAGAGAGCAATTGCATACGACAGCTCTCGCAATATATCTCAATCTATCGTGGACTCGGTTTAAGTCTTAACTAATTAAATGTCCATCCATAATTACCGACTTTAAACCATTTATGATTACTAATTTATATCATAGTATTAATTGTCATTACATACATATATAAATATATTTTGTAATCAAGCAGACACCATCAATTCCATAAAGAATCGAAAAATAATACATTCCATTCACCAATTGTATAATTCTTTAATAATAATATCCAAATAAGAAACCATGACTTTTACAATCCAAAATTAGAATTTGCTATGCTAGGGCACACATATCCTAATAGACGGAACCAACTATTTTTAGACTAATAAATCAAACACCACAACCACTTAACAGTCCCGCCACCACCACTTCATAGCCCCGTCACCACCACTTCACACTCCCACATCTCATATCTCTCTATATATATATGTATATATATGTGGGAAAAAACCTGTTTCATATATATATATATATATATATATATATATATATATATATATGTATATAAACAAAGATAAAAAAAAATAATAAAAAAAAACACCATCAGATTCACAGCAATTAAACCCACTTGAAACTCAAATATTTTACTGTGGCTTTTGCTTCTAGACCAGCTATTCAAATTGCCCATAAATTGGATTTATTGGCTATAAGCAGCAAAAATAAAATAATCTTTGATGATGTATTTTCATCCAAAATAAATCAATCAAACCCAAGATTCCCAAATTCAGGGATTTGGGTTTAGCATGGGTATTGGTAATTCAGAGCATGGATATATACACACACACACACTATATACATAGAAATTACCCAATTTAATTTGGTAATCTAGAACATAGCAAAATAGCTGCATACAGTGAAGCACTTCAATGTGATGAAGTCAACCACCCCGATGAAGTTACCGGCAACGATGATAGGGTTTGATGAAGCGAAGATGATGGGGTTTGATGGGTTCTCCACGATATCTGCCACCGCTTCTGTCTTTCTCCACCCACAATTATATACAACCACCCACCCTTCTCTTCCCCCTCTCTCCCACCACCACCAGCCTACCACTAAAATAGCACGAATAGTGACATTATGTATCAAACCAACCCAATCGGATCGATACGCTTGGTAAATGGCTGAATTGAAGCCTAATTTTGACCAAACTGTAATCTACTCCGTACATTTTTTTTTTTTTACCTGACAATACACTCTGGAACTTGACAAAGATGAAGCCAAAGCAAGGGCATTCAAGTCATTTAACAAATTAAATGTAGGTGTTGACAATTCAAAGGGCATTTAGGTCATTTTATTATGTGTCATATGTGACTGGGGAGTCTTTGTTAACTTTACCAAACTTGAGGGGGTGTCATTGTTCAAAAAGAGACTAACTTTCATCTGTCTGTCAATAAAGCAAACCTTAGGGGGTGTGAACGTAATTAACCCTTTATAATACCATAACTATTTTTTTATTTATTTAAACTTTAACTTTTTTTTACCTTATTTTCTTCTTCTATTATAGTTTTTTTTTTTAAAGATATTATTTATTAAGCATAAAAAATAAAATAATTTATGACAAATTATATAGGTCTTTTATCATCAACTAGGTGAAATTCAATATTCAAAGCATCCCAATTTAATTCTTAAAAAAAAAAAAAGAAAAAAAAAAAAAAAAAAAACATGATACTTGAGTCATTCCAACCCTTGAATGATGGGGCCCACTACCACATTCATGATTCAAGGGCTACCATTGCCTTGGGATACCATACCTTCGGGGTATTTAATACTTTTTCTCAAGACGGAGGTTAAAAAACGCGAGAGACCAAAAAAATTAAATATTAGAGAGAGGGGAGGGCAGTTGTAGTATTTGAGAAAAATAGTAATTTAATTATAAAGTTATGGTTAAAAGTATCATTTCCTTTTAAGATTAAAGTGTAAATATTGTCTCCCTAATTATTTTATTGTCTTATTTATTACCATTATTATTTTATTTTAATTCTATATTGATAATAGCTATTTATTGAAATTTGAAAGGTGTAATTCTAGAATGTTGAGTTATAAAATTATTGTCTAATTTATATGTTGTATATGTAGAATTTATTAGACCTATTAATAAGATTTGATGTATTATGTCGTCGATGTCTTACAATTTGTGTTCAAATTCCCTACCTCCTTAGACCTACCATAATTTAAGATGCAAGCACCATTAAGTTAATGTTGTCAACTGCAAAATGGAGGATTAATTGACTGAGAACCCAAACTTGCCTTCACAGGTAAGAAAAAGTGAGAAACGTGTCAAATTATAAGAGAATAGTAATAAAATAAAATAAATAAATAACAAGGAACATCTCAGGCATTGTTTGCTGCATTTTTATATTAAATTA